CCGTTCTGGGGTACAGATTTTAAGCCCCCCTTGATTGGTTCGGAACGGCCGGTTCTGGTCTAGAACGGCCCGTTCCAACCTATATTTTTTTTAGGCTTTTTAGAAGCCCAGAACGGCCCGTTCTGATTGAGAACGGCCCATTCCGGACTTGGGAACGGCCCGTTCGGATTTTGGAACGGCCCGTTCCGGGCCACTAAAAAATTGGTTTGGGCCTTTGGGCCCTCTGATGTCCTATCTTGTTATTTGTATGCCCCCCGGACGAAATTGGGTGTCTACAATCATTAGGGAACACAATAGAAAACTCAAAAGCCAAAACAGAAAATATTCTCAATTTTCCTATTTTTTGTAGGGTTTCCGTAGGAACTCATAGAACACTCTAGTTTATATCAAAACAAATCTATTCTTGAAATTGAACGCATATTCACACTCAGACTCATACAAAGGATGCAACAGAGCAATCAAAAAGCAAAATAGAAAACTTTTATAAAGTGTCTGTTTCTATACGCATACATTAGGAAGAGATTGGTGGCCAATCTAACTACCCAACAGATATTCCCACACTCCCAAGTGAGGTTTCTCACTCCCCCCTTGCCTGGATGAGCAGAAGATGAAGTACGTGCAGTTCCCCAGTGATCTCTTCCTCCTAGGTCTCTTGAGTCTTCAGAGTGCGTAGAAAAGAAATGAGAGATTAGAGTGAGGAGAAATGAGAAGTGTGAAAAGTAACTCCTCACAACTCCTTTCTTAAAAATAATAAAAATAAATAATAATAATAATAATAATAATAATAATATTTAGCAAAAGACCACTACATCCTTCCTTCCCTTCTCATAAAATAATTAAACATATTTTCTCTTTTTAATAAATAACATAAACATAATTCTTGATAAAAACATATTTTTCATAAAAATAGTCTTATAGCAAATAATCCAAATATTAATTAAAAATTATTTTTATATTAAAATAGAACTCACATAAAATAGATAAATAATATAAAATACATTTATCCCTTTTAGTAAAAATAACATACGTTTATATAAAAATAGAACTCATATCTACTAACTAAATAATATTAAAAATAATTCTAATAAACACATTAAAATATTAAAATAAATACAAACGTATTATTAATAAAATAAATTTCATAAAAGTTACCTATATATCATTAATAAAAATAATCATTATAAATCACGTCTCATAAATAAAATAGAGCTCATATAAAATAGATAAATAATATAAAATATACTTCTCTCTTTTAATAAAAATAATATAATTTTTATATCAAAATAAAGTTCATATCAAATAACCAAATAATATTAAAAATAATTCTAATAAATACATTAAAACATTAAAATAAATATTGACATATTATTAATATAATTTTATGAAAATCAGGGTATTACAATTAGAGACCTTGAAGAAGCTTGAGGGGTGTCAAGAAGCTAAAAGTCTAGGGAGGAACTTAAATGAGAAGCCAAAGGCATTTGGTTTGCTCCTACAGTTTCCATAAGCTAAGTTCCCTTTCTACATAAGTACTCGTCCTGAACTCATCTCAAAGGTGTCACAATACACTACAAAGGTCTTGCTACGGTCATATAATGCTAAAACAAGTGCACTAGTTAGTCTCCTTTTAAGCTCTCTCTTCACACTTAGAGTCTCACACAAAAGGTTGGTTCTTCCTAGTCAACTTAGTTAAAGGTAAGGCTAACCTAGAGAAATTCTCCATAAACCACCTATAGTAAGCATCTAATCCTAGGAAACTCTTAATTTTGAATATCGACTTAGGTGCCTTCCACTTAAGTACAACCTCTACCTTAGAAGAATATACATTTATTCCTCCTTCAAAAATCACATGACCTAAGAAACTAACTCTACTCAACCAAAACTCACACTTAGACAACTTAGCATACCACTGCTTATCCTTAAGGGTTTGCAACACCATCCTAAGATGCTCGGCATGCTCTTCCTTAGTCTTAAAGTATATGAAGATGTCATCTATGAAGACCACTACAAACCTATCACAATATGAGCGAAATATCCTATTCATGTAGTCCCTAAATACTTTAGGTGCATTAGTCACACCAAAAGGCATAATCAAATATTCATAGTGCCCACAACGGGTTCTAAAACCAGTCTTTGGAATATTGTCAAACTTCACTTGAATCTAATGTTAACCTGATCTTAAATCTATCTTGTTAAACACACAAGCCCAAACTAGTTGGTACATAAGATTATCTATTCTAGGAAAATGATATTTATTCTTAATGGTGATCTTGTTATGCTGATGATAGTCTACACACAAGCTCATGCTCCCATTTTTTTCTTTACTAATAGCATAGGTTCTCTCTAGGGTGATACCTCAACCTAAAAAATTGTTTCTCTTGAAGCTCCTTTATTTTTTTTCTCAAGCTCGACTAACTCCTCGAGGACATCCTATAAGATGCTATAAATATGGGTGCAATACCAAAGGAAAACAACACAAACAAAAGGGAGTGAGAAACATCTCACTTTAACCCATAGTGTAGGAATGTAATCGAATAGTCAAACATAAACAAGACATATAAGCATCATAACACATTAATAATAAAAATAACATATTTCATTCATACATACATCATAATTAAATATCAGATAACATTAGGATGCATATGCAATGGAAATAAATTACATATTATCATGCATGTGACACTAGTAAAAACGTTGCATGGTATATTACTACTAACAACACACATAGTGTAGCCTAGGAGTATATGTTAGGTCACACCCTCAATACAATCTCACTAGGAGGATACACTATTAGGATCTGGTCGAAATAGTTAAGTCGCACAAGATACATCCCATGCACACAAAGGGCGAGACTATGACTTCTAAACCAAGTTATCCCTAAAGACTAATTCACAAGCTTTTCCATAAAAGGCATTCCCTAACAATTTATTCTATATTGTACCCTTAAAAAATACTTTAATGCATATGATGCATGTCAAATAGACTCAGTACCCCATCATATTACAACAATACATTCTCATGATTGTATCTAAATTCATTTCATTTCATAACCACATCATGGCAAGCCTCGCTTAGACTTCTCATTATATCAAGATACAAGTTAACACATCATCCAACCCATACATGGTTCATACATGACTATCGTACATTGTATCTCAAATTGATAATTATGACTCATATCAAGTAATAGAGGTGATAAAAGGAAGAATAGACAAGAAAAGAATGAGAAAAAGGAGCATGAGCATAAGTCACAACTGTGACTTACGAATCACAGCCATGATGTTGGTCATGCTCATGACTGGCTTGGTGAGAATCCAAAGAGGGTTAAGATCTGAACGAGTCACAACCATGATTGACTAGTCACAACTGTGACTCACTAGTCACACCCATGATGAAATTTGATAGTGCAATTTTTGACTTTTTAAACTCCAAAACTCATCCCATCATCATAATTCATCAAAAGAGACATCCAATCAATAAAAACATTCCTAATCATATAATAAACATTTAAAATAATACAATTCAACCAACAGTGTAACCAGAATGGGCCGTTCTGGTTTCAGAACGGGTCGTTCTGGTTCCAGGTGTATTCAAGTATTTTGGGATCCACCTACGTGGCATCTACGTAGTATCCACCTGACATGCACGTGGCCACCAGTTAACTCCGTTTAAATCATTTAGACGAAAGTCCCAAATTACAATGATTTAAATTATTGGGGACCAAATTGAGACCTAAAATTAAAGTGAGACTAAATTGAAACAAAAAAATATTATAAGGGACAAAAGAGTTTTTTAACCTAAAAATTAAAAAAGTTTAGTGCATTAATTTACGGGAGAAGCTCAAATAACTATACCTTTTTAGTTTTTTATTTTTATTTTCTAGATTAATTTTTATTTTCTTTATGTGTTTATGAAAAATCGTAGTTATAATTAAACTGGATTTATTTTTCTCGTTACAAAATGTAGTATTAAACACTAGTATATATACACGTAGATGTGCACTAAAAAATGGTGGGAATCGCAAATGGCGATTCCTTTCACATGACCGTTAAATAGGAAAATTTTAAAATAATAATGACGTTGCCACGATGGACCAACAAAGGCCCAATAGAACCCACACGAAAAAAAAAAACTAAAACTAGCCGTTATGGTGCTTACCCATCAAGTTTCTTTCGTTTCGATTCCCTAATTTATTGCCATCTTTTTTCCCCTTTCCAAACAAGTTCATTTCCCGCACCAGTGTTCCGATAACCGAAATAAAAAGCGTACCCATTTTGCTTCATCGTGCGATCAAGTTCCACCGATCCCAAAGTCGAAACCTTTGGAAGTTCTTTGTTGGAAAAATTAGACTCTGATAACAGAAGAAAAGGCATGGCCGCAAGAACAGTCGCCAAAGACATCATCACTCTTCGTGGTTCCGCAGCAATCGTTAGCGAGTTCTTTGGTATTCACATCCCTCCTTTTTTCTCTTTTCTTTTCTGCGTACTTGTGCAATTTTCAATCTGTTAGCTTTTGCCTGAATTTTATTTTTTGGTGATTTTTTTAATCAGGATATGCTGCCAACAGGTTTGATCATCTGAATCCTGCATTTTTATTTTTGTTTTAGTTTTGGGTCTTATTTTTCGCATTTCAATTATGTATGAGGTTGGAAAAGTTGTGATATTTATAAGTATTTATCCTGGGAATTTTGATCAGCATTCTTTACAATCGTGGAGTTTATCCTGAAGAAAGTTTTGTGAAGGTGAAGAAATATGGTCTCCCCATGTTGCTTACTGAAGATGAGGGTGTTAAATCTTTTATAACCAATCTAACTGCCCAGCTCTCTGGTAATAATATCCCTTTTATGTTTCTTCTGTTAGGGTTCTCTCCTTCATATCTTTGAAGATGTAGAGAAATTAAAATAATTTGTTGTTGAGTTGGGAATTATTGTTTTGGATTAAATTTTGATATTGTTACTCTAACACTTTGTTGTGTTAGTAATTGAGGGTTAGAGAGAGTTGCTGGCGCTCCTTTTAAGTTATTCATAGTATCAGGTGTAAAGAACAGGGAGTCTAAAAATATTTTAAGAAATGGTTTTGAATTTGAGTTGTTGTTTGAGATTTCCTGATTTTGTTAATGCTTTAGTAGTATTTCATCGTCTACCATTGATTTTGAATATTGAATTGTAGAATGGCTTGAAGCTGGCAAGTTGCAGAGGGTGGTCCTTGTTATAATGAGCAAGGCAACCAGTGAAGTCCTTGAAAGGTGGAACTTCAGCATTGAGACTGACAGTGAGGTTGTTGAGAAGGGGTGAGTAACTTCACATAACTAAGGCACCTTTTGGATAACTTCTATAAACACTTGTAGAAAGAAAAAATAAATAAAATAATTTGAGTTTCTCCTATAAGTCATAATAAACTTATGAACTAAATTTCTACAGAAGCTCTCTCATTTAACTAGTCCAAAAGTTGGGATGCATAAGTTGATTTTAACTAATGGTAACTTTTCGTGTAAGTGCTTGTATAAAAGTTTATCACCCGAGCCTAAATCTCAAACTAAATTATCTTCCTTGTTCCTTCTAGAATCTCTCCCTTGTTTTATGTATTTCATTCTTCTATATGTTTATGCTTTGTTAATCTTTCAGTGTCTCAAGGGAAAAGAGTGACAAGGAAATCATGAGAGAGATTCAAGCGATTATGCGGCAGATTGCTTCAAGTATCACTTATTTGCCATGCTTGGATGAACCTTGTAAGGACATAAGAAAGAGTTATCACGCCCTGTGCATCTCTTTCTTCTTTTCATCTTCTTCTGATTCATTTAAAGTTTATTTTATCTCCCAGCTGAGCATATAGCTATAATGTTTCAGGTGTTTTTGATGTATTGGCATATACTGACAAAGATGTGGCAGTTCCATTCACTTGGATTGAGAGTGATCCAAAACTGATTGCAAATCCACAAATGGTGAAATTGCATTCCTTCGATACTAAGGTGAATTTGGATTTCCAATTTGGTTAGTTTATGTGACTCACATACTTTGTTTAATTTGGCTATTTCTAATATTTTTGTCTTGGCTATGTTCAGATTCACAAGGTTGACACACTTGTATCATACAAGAATGATGAATGGGATGAGCAGTAGGGGCCTTTTTTCAGCTTGTGTGTTTTGTTTCTTCAGGTCTTGAGTGAATTTTGTGTTGTGTTGGACCTGACAATTGTGAATTTTCTATTCACATTATTAGATGTGTGTACCACTGTGGGTGTAAACGTGGGGTAGTTTTAATCCTCTCTTCTTTATGGGGGTCTCAAGAAATCTCTGTTCTTTTCTTCAGAAGGTTGGATTTATCAATCATTTCAGTCTTATGAAACAAGTGAATCGTTCTAATTAATTTTTTCTGGTTCTGGTTGTTGAAACCAAGAATGCGATTAGCGTGTCTATACTAATATATAAAGGGGATACTCTTTTCAGTAATCACATTGATCTCTACTTTTTTTTATTATTATACCCTTTTATTTTAAAAAAATTTTAAAAATATTTTTTAATCAAATTTAAAAACTTGAAATTAATGGATTAATCACAATACTAATTAAATTTATACTAATATATAAAGGGGATACCCTTTTCAGTAACTACCTTGATCTCCACTTTTTTTTTTACTATTATACCCTTTTATTTTAAAAAATATTTTAAAAATATTTTTTAATCAAATTTAAGAACTTTAAATTAATGGATTAATCACAATACCAATTAAATTAATATACTTTTATTATTTATTTTTAACAGAGACACAAAATGCCTTGACCTCACTAGTATATATAAAAAAATTAGGATTGAAACCAAATTACGGTAATTAGTTAAAATTTGTTGGAAATGGTTGAACAAAGATCTTGAGAGACATTTTTCACTTTTCAACACTCCCCCCTCCCCGAGAAAAAGTAATTAGGTTCATAACCATCGATAATTTTGAATTGTGTTTGGATGAAGAATTTGAAATGTAAAAGTGATTCAATCCAATTAAATCCTTTCAACTGGACCTGTCAAATAATTGGTGTCCGCGCCTTCTAAAATCCTAATTCAATTGATTCATGGCCAAAAAAGTCAATACGGTTAAGAAAACCCATGAACCAATTTTGTATATAAAAGTAAATTCAACTATTAAAAGGTAATTGTAGTCTATTTATAAATAAACTTATTTCATGCCTTAATTAGTCTATTTTATTGATTAACTTTTCCTTTTTTCTAAACAAGTCGTTAAATCAATATATTTTCTAAACAATTCTTTAAATTAAGATATTTTCCTTTCAAAATTTATTTACAATTTTCAAGCAATTGTAAATAGAAGTTTCATAGTGGCTTAAAATTATTATTTTTATATGTATATGGTAAATATTTTGTAGTTGAAAATCTTAAAATAAAAAATAAAATAAAATCAAAGTGAGTTTTATCATTTGAAGTTAATTTTTTTCATATATATAATATAGAATTAAATACCACTATTTTGCATTGTTTTATTATTTGTTCATATCTATTGCGACCGCCGAGGCCCGTTTGGGCCGGTGGCGACAATCTATCCCATGGTGTTACATATCCTAATCAGAGCTTCCCACCTAAGCATTATCATGGAATTCATCAGCGTCAAGTTGAAAGTCACCTGCAAGCATAAAGGCAAACACACATAAGAACAAACAAGAAAGTGAGAAACATCTCACTCGGGTTCAGGTGCAAATATAACTGTTAGATAACACACACACAAAGCAATCACGAACAAGGCACACATACAAGCCATACATGTAACAGACCATTTTTTGTGGGCCAAAGGCCCATGTAACCCTAGGTTAGAACGTCCTATTTTGACCTAGTCTATTACATGCAAAATTCAAATATGGAACGGATCGTTCCAATTTCAAAATTTGCACATAATAGAAAAGTCCAGAACGGCCTGTTCCAAATTTAAAATGGTCCGTTCTGGTGGATTTCCGTGCCTATAAATAGAAGGCTCTAAGGGCCGAAAATTTAGCCTCTGAAAGTCCCTTTAGAATCTAGACCCTTTTTTGTATTTATTGAGATTTGTGAGGTATTTTGAAGTGTAAAAGGTAGCCAAAATGCACCTCAAATTTACTACATTGAAAATATCTATAAAAGCTCGTTTTAAGAGGTATCTTTCTTTACTATCTATTCCTTCTGTTATAAATAAAAGCAATCATGTAAACGTTTTAGGGCAAATTGTGTAAATAAGTAAATAATTATTAATAAAAAAGAAACTTAATATTTATGATGGAGCCTCAAAGTGCCACAACTCCATTGAATTCAAACTCCTTTGTGTGGACCTTGAGAAGATTCAAGGAAGATTTCTGGATTGAAATGGAGGAGCAATGTTGAACTAGAATGAACTAAGGTTCTCGGATAGAAGTAAGCAAGCCTAAATCTACAAAGAGAAAGGCTCAAGACAACAAGAGAAGGATACTCTCCTAAGGTGACTTCGGTTTAGAGTAGATTTCTTAAGAAGAAGAATTACTCATTCAATATCCAAAGTAGTGCCATAATTGGTTTTTGACAGTTTCTTCTAAATTCTCACAACCACCTCCATGAAAACAACTCTCCAAAAAAAGAGAAAAAAAAGTTATTCTTTCGTAAAATCAACTCTCTAACTTTCATAACTTCTCTTTTCAAATTATTGTTTTTCTTGAATGTTAAAATTACCCTTAATGAAGTGAGAAGGGAGATAATTAATTTTAATAACTCTAAAATAATCTCCAATGACCTTGATGGAGGATTATTAGAGAGAAGCTCACACATGAAGATCATTGAGCCTTTAACTAAGTCTATGATTAGGAGACTAGAGGAGGCTTCTACTGAGGAGGTGCTTCATAAACCTATACTCTTCATGAGTATTGAGTATGATTCCTCTTATTAATCTCTTAGTTTCCATTGTATATACATTGTATAGTCTTTTTCTTTTAGATCATACCCTTAGGATTTTAAGATATGTTACTTGGAGATTTTTGCTCAATTTGACCTTGTACTAAGGGTCGTTGATTTTCTTAATTTCAGTAGTAGAAGTGGGGTGACAAATTGTAAATATGTAAGTTGAAGATAGTAATTGGGCCTTTGGTGGACTTAGGCAAAAATTTACATATTAGGCTTGTTTAGCTAATCCAAAGAATTGATTTAGTTAGGTCTCACCACCATTGGGTGAACCTAACTAAACCAATTCCAAGATTTTTGGATTGGATTAGATGAAGGAAACAAGCCATGGCCGCCTAGCTTACTCCTTGGCCGAATTCTACTTAGCTTCTCCAACACATTTGCTTCTAGTTAGCCTAGGAGACAAGATGAGACATGGCATCTCTTGATTGACTCTTCTAGATCTAAGTGTCTCCCCCTTGTCTCCTCTAGAAGACAAGGTGACACTTGGCAAGTTAGGATTGGTCAATCTAGATCTAATGTCTCTACCTTGTCTCCTCCTTGTCTAGCTTGCTCTACAAGCTACTCCACCTCTCTATATAGGATTTCTCCTTTGTAAAAATCACTTTGGATGATATATGAGAGCATAACCGAGATATTTCTCTGAATTCTCTCTTCCTTAAAGTCTTAAACCTCTTTGATTTTGATCCAATTCTCTTATTCTCTTTCTAAAGAGTGTGGTGAGGATTGAAGTGGTTCATCTTCTTCCAAGGAGTGGCATCATTTGAATAGTGTTCTTCACCTCCTAAGGTGAAATCTGAAGCTTCTTCTTCCATTGAAGGCTTTGGTGAAGCTTGAGAAGTGTGAAGAAGCCAAAGGCCTAGGGAGAAACTTGAAGGAGAAGCCAATACCAATTTGGATTCTCTAGAAGGTTTTCATCATTTGGTATCAAGAGCTAGGTCTTCTTCTTAAACACTTTCTTAAGCTTTTCTTTCATTTTTGTTTGGTCAAAACATGTTGTATGGTGTCTAATTTCATTCTACTTGTTTTCTCCTTGTTTGTCTTATGTTTTGTATGGTGTAGAATTATTTTTGTGTCATAACTATAAATCTATAGAACAATTCATGTTGTCTTGCTTGTTTTTGATTCATACATCAATCTTTGTGAATCAATCTTGTTGTGTGCTTTTAGGATATATCTGTATGTTCTTTTTAATGTTTTAGGTTTGCTTTATCCTTGTTTGATTCTATAAGAAATTCGGTCAAAGAAAATCCTAAAAGAGAAATTAGAATAGAAAGCATATTTCATTTCTTAATCTCCTAGTTTTGTCTTAGAAGTTTTGTATAATTGCTTTACTTGTCATAGCTTCTCTTGTGTGCCTTTTTCTTTTTGAATCTAAATACATTAGTCTTTGTTATGTTAAGTTTACATTGATGGCTAAACATGTATTGATTCTTAGAAGTGCTCATTGAATGATTTTATGCATGTTATTAGACGTAACATGCTAGTGTCAATTTTTGTGAACTTCAATTGCTAATTCTTTCTTAGCAACTTAAGGCCAACAATTCTTTGTGTCTTGTGTGATTATTTTGAGAAACAAAAATAGAGTAAGAAGTTTAAAAAAAAAACAATCAAGTATCTAGAATGGAAGTGATGAGAATATTTTTAGGATATTTTATATTAAATAGTTTTAAAATTATTTTATATTTTAAAATGATTTTCATAAATTAAAATTTTATAAATTTGCATATGTGACATCCTCTACCCCACATTAATCTAGCACAACTCAAGTCATACATATATTAGTAGCACATACATAGTCACTCATTATGCAATGATTCCATGGACTCAACTCACAAATGCATGCATGTGGCGTCAGTCACATATCACATATCACTGGTGTGCTGCCTAAACAACACACCTAAGTTAGTCTAGGAGTACATGTAGGGAGTTACCCATACACTCTCAACTAAAAGGATGTACTGTTAGGGTAACGAAGCTGCGCAAGTTATGTCTCCTGCTCACAAACAGGCGAAATAGAAACATCCAAATTGCACTATCTCTTAGGACTCCCCCAAGCTGTTACACAAGGAGAGCCTTCCCTAACGGTGTACTCCACATCGTACCCATCACACAGATGCACATGATGCATGTCACACACTCACACTTCATTGACTCACAATTTCACTTGTCATAATCACTCATATATCATGTCTCATTGTCACATATCATCATGTCTCATGTCTCATATTCACTTTTCACATTATCTCATCATATTCACATAGTCTTATACAAGGTACTTCTCATAGGCATATACATCATAATAACACACAAACCATAACAGGAAATTATTCAATTTCATACACATTCAATTCATAATTCATGACATATGAAGCATAAAGGTCATAAACTGATGGAAGGTGGCTTAGTTCCATACACGCCCTTGATCTTGGTTCAACAAGGAGACTCCAAAATGGTGATGAT